CATCACCATCACCAGCATCACCACCATCGTCACCATCACCACCATCACCACCACCACCATCACCATCATCATCACCATCACCAGCATCACCACCACCATCACCATCAGCACTATTGTCACCACTAATATCATCATCACCATCACCACCATCATCATCACCATCACCATCATCGTCATCACCATCATCACCATCACCAGCATCACCACCATCATCACCATCACCACCACCATCACCAGCATCACTCTTAGCGTTCCCAGACTGATCCAGTCTCCAGAAATGAGCATTTTCATCCAGGACAGCTTTCCTCTGCTCTGAGTGGCTAAGCTAGTGTCTCCCTAGGCATGAAGGCCAGGCCTTGCCTGCTGGCTGAGTGCCCAGGTGGTGATGACTCTTGGCTGTCCACCATGCAGGGCTGAGCATGGTCTGAGTGGTACCTTCCCTTTTGTGGCAGGGGTACAGCAGGGAGACAGGTAACTGCTGATGCAACCACAGGGTAGAGCAGCGACCTTGGTGAGTACAGGTGACTTCTAACAGAGGAATCTGTTTCTCAAGCCTAGTTTTTCACCTAGAAATGTCCTGAGCTCATCTTAGCTTCATCAGACAAAATAGAACAAGTCCTTCTTCTCAGGAGCAGTTGGCTGTCAAAAACCGAGTAGAGCAGCCACTGGTGTCCCCGTCCCCAGCAGAGGACAGGATGTATATACCAAGTCACACAGATACTCGAAATAGCATTTAGGACTAGGTCAGTTTCTGTGCTTAAGTTACCTGTGCCTAACTGTAGTGTGTTCTCATCCCACAGCATAGGTTTAGTCCTTTCTGTTCTGTGTATGAAGGTCCAAGAAAAGAACCAATTGGCAGCTCTGGAGAGCCTGGGACTCCTGGGCAGGTGTTTTTAAAGAGCTGCACCTCCTATCACTGCAAGTTAATGATGACTATGGCCTCAAGGAGGTGCTATAGCATTTAAGAAGTGGCTGGAGCCCTGCATGGTGGACACAGCTATCACTGTCCTGACCAATGTAAGGTGGGCAAGGAAGCTGTGGACGGACCTAAGGTCAGAAGTCTACCGTCCTCTCCCCCTGCTCATGCCCCACCCCCACTGGAAAACCTACTGAGTGGAGGAAGCATCCCCAGTCCCCAGGAAGCCCCCCTTCAGCTCCAGCAGAGCCCCCACCTCACTGGGCCCCGATGGGAGAGCAGGACTGTGGAGCTGCAGCTCCCACAGTGGGTAGCAAGGGTCACGGCTGGTGAAGCGTCACGATCACTTTCCATACAACACTTTTTTTCTCCTGACATCTCCAGGAGATGAGAATTAATATACCTATTTACCACAAGGGTCTGAGTCACTGGCCTAGGTCTCCTGACTGGCAAGTGGCCACACGGGCTAAGCTCAGCACTGTTGGGCTCCAAAACCCCACCCGCATCTGCCTTCAGCCACCCTGAGGCCACCTCATGGCCCACTGGGTGGCTTTGCTGAACTAGCACCATGACAAACTCCCTGCCAAAGACGACTCGGTAGTCGGGGAGGCAGAGTCACAGCCCACACGGTGGCACTGGCACGTGAGTCTAACCAGCCTCTGGGAAGGAAGTGAGGCATTGAGCCCTCTGGAAGCTCCCAGCTGTGCGGCCCCAGTCTTGCTTTGCTAGGCTGATCTGTCACGACACTCAATCTGGGTTCTGGGCAGCAGCGTGAAACAGAAAGGCTGTTTGAAGTTCAAATGAAATTTCTTTTCATGTCCTCAAATGATTTCAGTGAGGACTGATTCATGGTGATGTAAATAAGAATCTAAGGAGACTCTCTTGAATCCCAGTGTTAACCCCAAATGGACATTCAGGCTTATTAGCAGGGAGAAACAGTGTGCCAAGGGCGGCCATGTGCACAGCACAGCTGCAACCCGCATCTCTCCCAGAGTCAGTGGAGAGAAGCACAGTCCTCAGAGAGGAGTTCAGAACCTCTGTAAGTTGACCACCAAGGGACTATGACACACTGGCCGATAGGCGAAGTGGGCAACAGGAGCACCATACATGTGGTGCATTCTGGTCTGCGAAATTAGGCCAGCGTAGGGAGGTGGTCCGCTATGGAGGCACTGCTGTAATTTACTAACACACTCTCTCTCAGTAATTCCACCTTATCACCTCACTGCAAATATCCCTGTGAGTTCTGCTCATCTGCTTGGCGTCTCAGAGGGGGAAAGGCAGGGAGCGACCCTCACTGAGCCTGAGCATCTCCTGAGTAGGCCTGCCTCCTGACTACACGGGACCTGAGGGGCGCCACTGAGCACGTGAACAACTCGGCATGGGGAGCAGCAGCAGCATGTTTCTCACCTTGTGGGCTTGGTCCAAGGCCTGCTTCCTGTAGTCCAACTCCTCATCCAGGTATCCCTTCTGCTTACTGAACAGCTCCTGAAGCACAAGGGGACATGTCTAGCCTCAGGCATCCCACCAGCCACACCATGCTGCAAGGCCACGCAGGACACCCCACCAACCTTCTCGCTCTCCAGATCCACCATCTTCCGCTGCAGTGCCAACTCTGTCTCTTCAATCTGCTGCAGCCACTGGGGACAAACAGAACAGGCAGGACAGTGACCCCTTGGGTCACCCACACAGGCACCAATGCTGTCCCCTACCCCAGCGCTGTGGAGACAGCAGGAGAGGAGCGAGGGTGGCCTGGATCTCCTCTCTTTCTCTCTTCCTTGGGCAGAGGAGAGCTTGGCCCCCTCCAGGGAGTCTGGCTGGACTGGTGGCATGAGCCCTGCATACCAGGGGCAGACCAGGCCCAGGCCCCACTCTATGCACTGCCTGGTATCTGGGCAGCTTGCCCTCCACATTCTCCTGGGGGAGGAGATAATAGACCCCTGTACAGTGCCCTGAGCCTCCCTTCTCTGGCTGTAGGAGGCCTGGCCCATCAGGCAGAAGAGGGTATGGCAGGTGGACAGAGAACACCCAGACCCACTATACCTTCCAGCCTTTAGGAGGAAACTGAGGTAGGGTTGGTGGCAGGGCCAAGTCCAGCTGCATCTATCCTTTGCAAAGGTGTACAGGGGGTGCTGTGGGACCTAGGTGTGCCAGGTTCCCCAGCAGACATGTTTTGGTGGACCCCCTCCCAGGGAAGTACCTTCTCTGAGCTGAGTAGGGCAGGAGACCCCAGAAGCCCCTCCTTCTCCCGAGCAACCTCCAAAAGCTGCTGTTACCTTTTCTGCCAAGGTCAGGACTGTCCTGGCTTGTATGACGACCACTTGCTCCTCATTGGTCAGATTCTGCACCAAAAAGCAGAGCACAGGGACAGTCAGAGGCAGTGCCTGGGGTGGGGTTGGGGGTGGATGATGGCCGCACTGTGATGCTGATGTGAGGGGTAGGGCCTCAGCTCCCAGATGCTATGATGAATGTGTGCCCTCAACTCTGGACCTTGTGCCCTTAGGCGCCATCCACTTGTCCCTCTCTCTGCAGGAAACCACTAGGCTTGGGCCCAGCTGAGGCAAAGTGGCGTGTGTGCAGCTCAGCACAGCAGGTGGCGACTGGACCAGCGACTGATCTGTCCATGCTCTGCCTTGTTCCCCACGTGGTTTAAGCCAGGACTTGGCATACTCAGCCATAAATTGTTAGCCTGAAGGCACTGCTTATGAATGGTGCCAGGAAGGTAGGAGTATTTGGAGATGTGAGATGTCCCTGCTCTGGTGGGCTCCCTCTTTCTTCTGCATGTCTCAGTCATTCTTCCTCCTAAGGGGTCCTGGTGCTCCTTCCGGGCAGGGCGAGTTTAGCTTTAGAGCCGAGGGTGCACCCTCCCAGTGTGCAGACACATCATATGCTCAGACCCTAATTGCACTTGCACTAAGACCGGGGATGTTCAGCCCAAACTCATGGGACAGCCAGGTGTGGGGTCCTCACCCCACCCCTAGAACTTCCCTGACTCAGGTCCAAGTCACTCAGAAAGCCCTGCTGTGCAGTCTCTCCCTCAGAGTGAATTCCTAAGGACAGGTGCCACTGGCAGGCCTCCCACCCCCAAAGTCAGCACCAGTGTCTCCCACAGGGAAGTTGTTGACTGGCCACCGTAAGCAGAGGCAGGGTCTGCCATTCTCCTCCCCCAGGGCAGGGCTAGAGGGCCACAACCTTCTCCTAGAAGTTTCAGTGGCTTCAGGGTGACTGGGGGATCTACCCAGACATGGCAATGTCAGGCTGAAGGCCTTTAGCATCCCTCCCGCTGGCAGCCCAGCCCTCTGACTCCCTCTGGGTAGTGGCGACGTCCAAATGCCACAGCCCTGGCAAAATGCTGTCTGCTCTGCCCTCTGGCCCTGCTGTTCCCCAATTGTCCTGCCCCCTCTGCAGCCCAGGTGCAGCGAGCGTGCCACTGCCTGCCAGGGAGGGTGGGCACCCATTCAGCACCCCCAGCCACTCCACTCTCTTCTGGTCCTGGATCCTAGGGAAACTGAGGCAGTTGGGAGATGCTCTGGGTCTCAGGTGTCCACCTGACGAGACTGGAGGCAGGCTGGGCACAGCAGCTCTATACTGGCTGTGAAGTGACAGTCATCTGCTTCCTCACAAGCTGGGCCACTCTGTGCTCTAGGAGGGGACCTGTGAGCTCAGGCTCCATGGAGCACAGTCCTGGGTCATGACATGCATGTGACATTTGCTCAACAACAAGTGCACAGTCAGACCTGAAGGGACACTCCATGGCCCATGGGCCAAAGCTGCCGAGAGTCTCCACAGAGTGTCCTGAGAGTAAAACCTCCTGCTCCCAGACTTCTCTGTCCTCAGTAAAGAATGACCTCAGAGGCTGCATGATGGCTCCAGGGAGGTCACAAAGCAGTGGCTTCCTCAGGTGGACAGCTACAGAGCTGGGGAGGAGCAGCCAGAGCTGGGTGCCCCTTCCTTTGCCACTATACCAGCTCCATGACCCTAGGCAGGTGCCTCTGCAGCCTTAGTTTCTCCAGTTGTGAATAAGAGGGCTGCCCAGTAAGGTTCCCTAGAACCCATATGGGGGCTGATGTCCAGTTGGACTCCAGAACTTGTCATGCCAATAGCCCTCCTTGTTGTGCTGTGGTTCTTCTGCCACCTGTGGCTTGGATGAAGCCCTAGGTACCTCCAAAGCCAAGAGAGCCTCCCTGCTGAAAGCATCTCCCTGCTCTGCCCTGGGTGAGGGGCAGGAAAGCTGATAAGGGATTCCTGTCAATACACAGCCTTGCTCAGAGGGGATAGAAGAGGTCAATGAGTGTGAGATGATGTTTGGATGGAGGAGGAGTGGGTGGACAGAGGATGGATGGATGGATGGAGGAGTGGGTGGATGGAGGATGGATGGATGGAGGGAGAAGTGGGTGGATGGAGGAGTGAGTGGACGGAGGGTGGATGGATG